GGTGGAGGCAGGAAAAGGGCGTTTTTTGCAGCGAACAGCTGCGAGTGAAAAAAGAGACTAAATCCGTCAGAAAGGCGTCTGTACTATTTTTTTTTGTGATGATCGCCTAAACTAGTTTGCGTCAAAAAAGCACGTAAATTTTCGAACTTTGGCTCTCTTTATGCTGGTGACTGTGTTCAGGAGAAAAAAACGTAGGTGCAAAAAAGTTTTATTTTATTCACCCTACATTATGCAGCGAACCGAAACAAGAAACTTTCGCGCTGGTAGCTCGTACTTCTCAAAAAAAAATTTGAGCCTGAATTTGGTCTCGAATGCCCCAGTCGCTGTATGGATAATAGGTAACTACCACAAAGTCCCTAAATTTTATTCTGCAGCTCTCTTGGTCTAAGATTTGTAGCACTTCACAGGTCGAGAAAGGAAAAGAAATTTAAAAGTTATACTCAGATTTTCAGCTAAATACACAGCTGTGAATCATATGCCGAAAGCTTTGGCATCATTGCTTTCGCAACTTCAAGATTTCAATCTTGTAGGTACATACATGCCAAGCATAGGGCTACAGACGCAGATATGCAATTACATAAACATGCATACATACGCAAATACAAGCATGCACAGAGATGTAAGTCCGTAACAATGCATTTTTGATTTATGCAAAAATGCATAAAAAATGAAACGAATGAACTCATTTCGGTCTTTAGCACTTCTGCATTCCTACAAAGCTACTCCATCCGTAAATGTTGCGGTATAGTTTGGCCTAAGAAGAAGAAAAGTTGCAAAGTTTTCGAAACCGCTGTCCAGGATGGTGAGTGTTTGCAGATTGGCAGCTTACTTATTCCACTTTGTTCTTAATGTTCCTGAAATTTTCTCATGAAAATGAGCCATGCTACAAGGCAGCTACTTTGCCCCATCTCTCTCCCTTCTTCTTTTTCAGTTTCCCACCTTCACGTGCCTTTTGTTCACGTTTCTGTTCAACTCACCGGTGTCAAATCGTACAAATTCTGCATTTTATTATTCATAAACGCTTTTATCGTCGGCTTTTTTACTGTTGGAGATATATCTCAAACTTTGGTTCTCCCCATGCAGACAAATTGCATAATGCGAGACAAATGGATTTGATATTCTTCATGGTCTTTTTTGTAAATCACTATTAATTGTTTAGCAGATAATTCCAAATTTCGGGATACGTTTTTACACGATTGGCGTGACTGTAACGGGTCCTTCGATCCTGAACTGCACAAATTTAGTTAGCATCGATGCTTCCTCAACCCATGTGCGTCATCTTTTCAAGGAGTCATCCAAGAGCTAAATAATTTTTCAGTAGGTACCATTCACTAATACGCATCCCGCGCCAATGCCGGCATGAATGATGCATTTTTCCAGTGTCACCGGGTTTCAAGAGCTAAAACAACTTGTACGCTAATATCTTGTGCTGCGCTGCTCCATTCGTTGCTTCTTCAGCTCCGCGTTCACAATAAAAGAAGAGGATGATGGCGAAACGATGAAATTTGTGTATATATGCAATAAATGCATTCGGAACGGACAGAACAACCGGGCAAAATCAATTTTATGCATATTTTGTTGACCATGCGGCAAATAAACTTGCCTCCGAGTCGGCCGGCCTGTCTTCCGAGACGCGGCCGGCCCATCCAAGATGGAAGCCGTAGCAGTAGCAGCAGCTATTGGGCCTGCTTCCTCATATCGTCGTCATCGTCAAAGCTTTCAGCCGCACATTTGCATACACCCAGTGCTGTGCTTACACCATCTTTTCATCCATATTCACCGCTTTTCATCCCACAGCCGAGTTTTTTCGGGAAACACTTAAAGCGAATTAAAGCTTTCTGCGGATCAGTTAAAAAATGTTTTTTTTTTGCGTTTTAGCACGCTCCCGCCATGACCCATACGTCTCGGGTATTGCCATTCCGAACAATTAACCTTTTCCGGAAACCACACTGAGTAGTATTCGCAAATGAGTACGCACGAGTGCGTAAGCGCAAATTTTTTCCGGACTATGTCCGCATGATATTCAGTTCATACCTTTCCGGATCGCTTATTTGCCAAAACTTTGAAGCGGGAGAAAGAGGAGCTTTTGAAGCAGTTCTTGATAATTTAAAATATCATAAAACTAAACCAATTTCCTACAGTCTCCGATTTTTGATTCATACTTTCAAATTTATGCAGAATGGAAAAGTTGCATGCAAATGTTCTGAAACTTTTAATTTTAAGCAGTGCGAAGTTAAAAAGAAAACCTAAAATTTGATACTGTTTTGGCACTGTTTCATCCTGCCTTGCTTGGGGCATCCAAAATCTGTACGCGACCTTATTTCTACAATCCCTAGTGCATTGCCTCTCCTGCAGCTCAATGAGTTGCTTTGGACTTTGATTTACAAAAGTCATGGCAAAACAAACAATCGTAGTTTCGATTTTGTGATTTCGTTCTTTTTTGGTTGTAAAATTAACGGGGATTTTGTCCGAAGACCACACATCAGTATGTATATGAAGAAATAAGCAACGATTTCAAGTTTCTGACCTCAAATGCGAACAAAAAATGCATTTAACAAATCTTAAGACTTTGTCTTTCTTGGTCTTGAAATATAAGATTAGACTGAATTGGGTCCAAGGTGAAAGGTTATAACAAGAAGTAGTAAGCTGAAAACTGCCCAACAAATTCAAGTTTGTTGTTTTTGGTTTTGAAGTCTTGAATTTTACTCGAATTTGTGCCCAATTTCAACGGTTAGGACATAGAGCAAACTGAAAGTTCATTTCGATTTCGAAGCGTTATGCACGCTTGTAAACTTTTCCCCACAAGAATTCAGTTCTCTTGTTTTTATAGTTCCGGAGTTTAAATATCTAGTCAGAGTGACATACATACACAAGCTCTCCCTCTTGTACATACACACATATGCAAACACAAATACACACATTCCGTTACGCAGCACATTTCAGATGTGAAATGCAATTTGCAATCTCCGTATGTAGATGGGTGTATATATTCCATTCTTTCTGCTGGGATGATTCAACTCGGAGCTGCAGAAGCTAGGAAGTTAGGACTGTGGCAGTTAGCCTCTAAGTATGTATGCCAAGAATGCCAAGACCGCTCGAGCTATCAACGTGCTTATCTCCTGTTAGCGATGTCAATAGGATGCTGAACGCAGCTCGGCCAGGCCCTTCGATCTGGAGCTGCATGTCTTCAGTTGGTACCCACCGCATGTTCGATGTATGTCCACCAATTTTTTCGGATGGTCGCTCGAGTGGTCGCTTACTTTGTGGGTATTACTCATCCATGCGCACTGTCCGTCGGTTGTTGGCAAGGCGGCAACGCACTCTGCCCTTCGGGTTTTATTTTCTTGCGTGGACGCAATGAAATCATTTATACCACTGATCTTTATTTATATGGTCTTGAAGAGATACCCCAACACCTCCGCTCCACCGCTTTCTCCGTCATCGCCAGCGCTTGCTGTTCGATTTTTGTGAGTGACCACGTTTCGCATCCATGCGCCGTTTACCTCAACATAGTGGTATTGACGTTTTTGGACTCCCGAGGAAAAAAGTGGCAATAAAGTCAGTCTTTTTGATTGCCTCTGTCCTGGCTGCATATACGAAAAATTTTCATACCCAAAATAGGTCGTCACAGTAACAGTGTCGCGTCCAGTTTGTTTTCCGGTAACGGTATTTCTTTTTTTTTTGAAGCAATGTCCTCACATGAAATGAATTGAGGCTTCAAGGCTACATATGCGCTGTGTGCGGAGTTCGAATCTATGTAACACTTTACAAAAAACGTGTTTGGGATACATGTTTTTACATCGCGCATATGCAGTTGTGCAGTGCTTTAACTTCATCAGATTAGCTAATGGCTCCTTCTGCTGGACGTGACAGGAAAGACCAACTAGAGTATTTCCATCGTGAATACACATTTCAGCTTGTTAAAAAGCAACCAAAAACAACCGTTAATGAACTTTTTGCTGGCAGAAGCTGCGCAAGAACGTATGAGCAAGTCGATAATCCTGGTACCCAGAGCTAGCAATTCAAAATAGTTCACTACCATAACTATGTGATTTGTGTGGCATAAATGATTGAATTGTTATTTAATTAGTTTTGTTGGAAAATAAACCATTTTTGCCTAAACATAAACTAAGGTCGCATGTAATGATTAGTGACTGAACAGACTTTTTAGAAGTTTGCATAGTTCGTCTGCGCTCTTCGTTTTCTTCGGCAGCCTCTTGAGGCGATGAGTGCAGAAATCTTCTTGCAGAACTTGTAAACTTTGAACCGGGGGATTGGGAAAAACCGGATAATTCGTTAAAAAAGTTGTATGTGCTCAAGCAGTGAGCTAAAATATGTCGAATATGGTTATCGAAGGCACTTCGCGAAGCAGCGATCCTATGGACGCGAGCACTGCAGGTACTTGTGAAAGTTTTTAGAATTTGAGGACTTTCTTCTTATTGGTTCATCTGACAGAATTCGCATAAAAGTTTAGCTGTATCCAATCTGAGTACTACAACAGGAATTTGAGTATTTTTTGAGAGTCAAGTGAAAGAACTTTTTTAAATTGTTTTTTGGTTTAAATTTCTGTCTTCTTTTGTTCACCGTTTGTTTCCTCACACAAACACTATTTCACTTTTCAGGAACTTCAAATGTAGGAAACGCGGTAGCTGCAACGACAACAGCGAACGATTCCATAACTGTGGAGGTTCGCTTAGTTCTTTAAATACCCGAATATTTGGTTAGCAAAAAAAGTAACGACTGTTTGACGTAAAAAAATTTATTACTCCGAACAGTTGGTGTTTTGTTTCCATTTTTTATATTGTAATACCGTTGGAATGTTTTCGTACGCCAGGCACAACAGCCTACCCGGGTCTTTCGGCTAATGCCCACTGTGTGTCCGATGTAGTCTTCGAACACTGTTCGAGTGCCCATTCACTTTTTCAACCGGCGGACAATGCGAATCAGTGCATGATGCCCACTCCACCAACACGTGTCTTCCGTTGGTTGTCAGCAAGCCGAACGACATTGTTGGATTTCACTTACTTCGTCATGCTGGTAACTCGCGCAATTGATGCAGAATTTGATTGCTTGAAAAGTCACGGCAAGGCAGTATAAACATTCTTCGCACTATCGTTGTATGCTTAAGCTTAACGGTGGATCTTGCTATGTAAAATGCACGCAAAATTGGGTGAGAATCAGAATTTGGCTGAAACATTTCATTCTGAAATACAAAACATCATCTAAAGCGCTGCAGATGAACTTGTTGTTTCCTGGCTACATCGTATTCTTTCAAAGTTGGAAAAGTATGACGTAGCCAGGAAACAATCTAAAAACGTTTTCAGGTCCAAAAAAAAGCGCACACTTTAGTAAATTTCCCGTGCCATCTCGAAAAAATGTGAATTGAGGCTACATGAAAAAAACATGAAGAGGCTGCGCAGAAGAGGAGTTATAGCGAAACGTAGCATATCATTTTTATGCGTTTTGCTATGCTGCGGTAGACAGTTGCAACAGGCA